CTTTACCTTTACTTTAAGGTGGTACTGGACTCTTGCTCTTTTCTCCTAACTATGCCGAAAGCGAGTAAGCCCCGTGCGGAGGAAATCCCTCCTTACTTTAGACAATAGGGACGCTGAAAGAAGCAGGCGGTGGCAAGCCAGCCCAATGCAAACCTGGCCACTCCTTCCCCTTTACCTTCGCTTCACCACAGCCACCGCCTTGAAGACTTCGTTCCGCTTGAGCACAGCGCAGTCCCCCTCGCGGATCACGTGGAGGGGACCGGATCTCGGGCTCTCCTCCTCCATGAGGCCCACCACCACCACCGGGCGCCCCTGCGATTCCTTTTTTCCCTTTCCCCCAAACCAAACCGGCCCCCCCCCCCCAAGTCACCCCCCAAACACCGGCTCACGCCTCACGGAAACAGAAAGTGCAACCTACGCGCATGCGCCAACAGAACGGAACAGAGGACGTTAACCGCCAGTGTCTCTTTCTCTCTATGGTCTCGCCTCCATTTTCACATCTACGTCCAGATCCCGTTAAGGACGCATGCGCAGTGGATCCTGTCCTAACCAAAAAGACGATTTATTTTTTTTAAATGTGTTTTCAAAGTATTCGTTTGCGTTTCTAATAAAATAATTGCTAAGAAAAAAAGGTGGCCTGTCTTCCTTTCTAAATATTCCCTCGTTTACACAAACACTTCCGACCTTTGCCAACCACTATACCCCTTACTAGTAGATAAGAATTACACAACTGCGCATGTCTTCGGGCAACAGCACGCTGTCTCCTTTCTCAGGTTCATGTGGGGACGTAGGCGTGTCAATAGAGCACAGACTGCGCATGCGTTCCGGGAGCTTCCTTTTGTTTACAAGGAGGCCACGCTGTGTAACGATGGCAACAGAGGGTGGTGACGGTCTTACCCGCTCCGCTTCCGGATGTGGGCGGAGTCTTGATTTTTTTGCGCCAAAATGGAAATTGAGGGACGAAATCGAAAGGAGGCGTGACGGCTCGTATTAAGGTAAGCGCTGCCTTTATTGTGGGCTGCAGTAAAGTTTCTAGTCCTCACTGTGAGGGCTTCTTTATTTCACGCTTCCAGCTTTGGAAGGCTCATGCGGCTAGAAGTTACTCTACTGACTAAACCCCAAAATTCCTCGCGTGTGGAAAGGTAGCTTGTCAGGGGGAAACGGCCTAACCTTGACTTTCCTTTGCTGTGCTAGATCTCAATGGCCATAGACCTCTTGTATGTGTGTGTCTTCGTTCGAAATATTTTATTCTGTCCTTCCTATCACATATGGCCCTTGCAGGCAGTCTTTATAGGGTTCACTTCTGGGTTTGGAGATGTCCGTATACATTTTCCCACATCCTTTAAGGGCTGCTTTTTCAGCCATAAAGGCTTAGTAGCTTTCTTTGTAACCTAGGCTTGCCAGTTCTAGCACCTGGAACTTCTAGGGGTGGATCCAGGAGAGGGTAGGGTTTGGGGAGGGGGTAAGGACCTTAGCAGGGCACAGTGCCATAGAGTCCATCCTCCAAAGCTGCCATTTCCCCCAGCGGAACTGATCTCTATTGTCTGGAAATCAGTAGTGATAGCAGAAGATCTCCAAGCTCCACCTGGAGGTTGGTAACCCTGTCAGTATAACTTGAAGCCAAGCTCCACCTGGAGGTTGGCAACCCTGTCAGTATAACTTTCTCACATGTGGTCTGAATTCTTTATCCCCTCCCTCCGCCCTTGTACAAGCACGAAAAAACCTGGGATTGCCTGATCCTTGAAGAAGAAGAGATTGGATTTATACCCCATCCTTCACTCAGAGTGGCTTACAATCTCCTTCCCTTCCTCTCCCAATAACAGACACCCTGTGAGGTAGGTGGGGCTGAGAGAACTGCTCTGGGAGAACTGTGACTGACCCAAGGTCACCCAGCTGGCTGCATGTTGAGGAGTGGGGAATCAAACCCGGTTCTCCCAGATTAGAGTCTGTCACTCTTAGCCACTGCACTGAATTGGTTTTACTGCCACTGCTGCTTGGGTTGCTGTTAGTCCTTCAGACCATGGTCATGGTGGGCTCTGTTCCCCTCTTCTCTATAGTTCGCTGATCTTATGGTCAACTACTGGGTGTTGAGGGTGTCTGTATGGTTGAAGTTTCTTCTCCTGTGCCCTTGTCACTCTGTTGTATGCTACTGCCTTCTGTGTAGGTGTGGAGGCTAAGGAGAGCAAGTTTAGCATGTGCCCTCTCCTCCAGTCCTTAAGATCTCCCTGCTGCTGCTGAAAGAGGTTAATGGCTTCTGCCTCTGCTTATTGGGGGGAACGTCTACACTGTGTTTCTGTTTCCAAAGCAAGTAAAATGGCTTCATTCTGAGTGTAGAATAGAATGCAAGTTGACTAACATATTGGCGTGCGCCCTGGTAATTGTTGCACTATAGCCACACAGACAACATTCAGAAACCAGTGGGGGAGCATTTTAACCTTCCAGGACTTTCAGTTACTGACCTAAAAGTACGGTAGCAGTTCTCTTACAAAGGAATTTCAAAGGGAGGCCCCGGTCACACGAGCGAGATAATCCGGGCGGGAAGTGAGGCTTTTTGCTCCGGAGCAAAATGAAGTGCGGTATCACGATCCGATGTTCCCCCAAGACTCTGTGCTCAGGCCTTCAGCTGCTGATCACATGGTGATGGCGGAGTGTGGCAACGAAGCAGTACCGTGTTTGTGCACATACCATGGAGGCTTACAGGAAAACATCCGGTGGGACGTTGACGGGTGCCGGATGTGACGGGATACCAGCGCTTCCGCGATCAGATGCCCGCCCGCACCCTGTATTTTCCAGATAATACTACACTTTTCCAGCTACTTTTAAACTCCGCATCTTCGGCTGGATGCTACGGGTTGGAGATGGGTGCGCAACGTTGCCAGATGTTGCTGTATGATCGCTCCCTTTTAATCCGCCCGGCAGTCGTGCCTCTCGCGTGGCAAATTCTTCGTGTGACGGGGACCGGAGATTAGAGAGACTGCTGAATTGCAATTGATAATGAAGCTCAAGACAATGCATCCACCTGGATTGTATCTAGACCTAGGTTTCCTGTCTTACTACCAACGCTGATTTCTCCATGCCTACTACCCCTCTGCATATCACACCTAATCCAATTATGCCTGCTATAGTCATTTGCCTGCTAATGTCATTCGGCATCTGAAATCACTCCTCTTTCCAATAAATAGGACTGATGGACTCCCATTCTAGCTATATCTGAAGAAGTGAGCAGTGACTCACAAAAGCTCATACCTTGCCACATATTTTGTTAGTCTTAAAGGTGTTACTGGATTCTAGCTCTTTTCTACTGCTATACACAGACTACCACGGCTACCCATCTTGATTTTATAGCCACATGGGAAGCCAACATCAATTCTTCCCTCTGGTAGTCTTGGTATTGGCTGTGGCCCTCAGTGGGAGTTTGGGCCAGTTGTGGATGGTTTGCTTTCTGCTGTTGCTGCTTCCTGTGATGGAGGACTATGCCAGCACGAGAACTTGCAATCTGAAGTGGTACAAGCCCAGATACTGACTGGAACCCCTCACTGAGAAGACTGGTCCCGTTTCCTTTTCTTGGTAGGGCCTGAAGGAGCATATTTGTTGTCGCTTCCCGTGAGATGATGTACAGGTCAACAGCAACATAGAGAACGTTTGGTTATTTATGGAGAGCCTCTCCCCCCCTTTTCTACTTTGGTCATGTATTTTGAGTAGTGATCTTGGTGTCTCCAAATTACATAGAAGATAGAATAGCCCTGCTGGATCAGACCAGTGGGCCATCTAATCCAGCATCATATCTCACATAGTGGCCAACCAGTTCCTTTGGAGGTCAACGATGGAGCATAGAGGCCTTCCCTGGTGTCACCTCCTGGCACTGAGATTCAGAGGCTGACTGCCATTGAACATGGAGGTTCCATTTAGTCACCATGGATAGTACCCACTAATAGACCTACCTGCCTGGAACGTGTCTATTCCCCCTTTCAGCAGCCAACTGAAAGATCTGTATGGTAATATAAGTCATGTAATAATGCATACTTGGGGGGGGGAGCGTTCTGGAATGTTTTGGAGCGTATATAAGTGACTGTGTCAGAATTCTGAACTGCTGGCGTTCCACGCTAGAGTTCCCTTTATCCAAATAAAGTTCGCTCTTGTGTTTGAGGTCTCGCCTGGTGTGGTTTATTGGACTTGACTTGCCAGAGAACACGAACCCAAGATTTGGTTAACAGCGGTGTATGCCTAGTTTCACTGCCCGGTGTGTAGCACACTAACGTTAGATTTCCATGCTGGCTAACATCAGATGTGTCTCTAGTTGGGGCTTTTTTCTTCAGTAAATAACTGTTGGATGCTATACAGGTTGCAAGAAATTTCACAGACAAGATATGCATACACTTGGAGTAGTATGGTAAAATTATTAGAAGCTGCCTTGTATTGTGAGATCATTGGCTACCTGTTCTAACGTCTAGTCTCTGGAATTTCACCAGCATTAAAGGTGGCAATACTAGGGATCAAATGTAGGATCTTGTACATGCAGAGACCTGTATTCCACTAGTGAGTTAAGGTCTCCCCCAGCCTCTGTCCAGCCTTGAGATCCAGCTAACTTCCATTCATTGATCAACCAAGCCTTCTGCGGTTTGGTGTAGTGGTTAGGAGTGTGGACTCTAATCTGGGAGAACCGGGTTTGATTCCCCAGTCCTCTGCATGCAGCTCCTGGCAGGACCTTGGGTCAGTTACAAGTTCTCTTAGAGCTGTTCTCTTAAGGGCAGTTCTCGAGAGCGCTCTCTCAGCCCTGCCTACCTCACGGAATGTCTGTTGTGGGGAGGGGAAAGAGATTGTAAGCTGCTCTGAGACTCCTTTGGGTAGTGAAGAGCGGAGTATCAACCCAATCTCTTATTTTTCTTCTTCAAATTTCCATTCATTGCGCTCCAAGCCATCTGCAGGTTATTTTCCTAGTTCAAATTGTAACATGGAGCAAACAAAATTCTATAAAGACTTCTATGGATCTGTATCCAAAGGGACCCTCTCCTCAACTATTCCCAGATCATCTCCCATCCTGCCCCTTAATGAGAAACAGTGCTATTAAACCCAGTCAAGTTTTTACGTGCATTTTTGTCTTTTGTTACTTTTTTCCATTGTAATCAGTCCCATTACCTGCAAGAGGTGATGCCAATTGCTACATGCTGCCAAATGACAGAATTGTCCTTTAGATTACTTTGTAGGTTGCCGGTGGGGTAGACTGCGGAGATGAGTGCCGAGCCCAGAGGGAAAGGGCCTGGGCCAGGAGGAAGAGGCTTCCAGCGGTGGAGAGGAAGAGG